TCAACCAGCATACCATCTACAACTCTACCAAAAACAACATGTTTTCCATCTTAAAAAATCACATTTGGCACATGTGATAAAAAACTGGCAACCATTTGTATTTGGACCACTGTTAGCCTGCAAGACAACATGTTACTGTCAATGCTATGTATTTGTCATACGTCCAATGTCAAAGTGTGTATTGGTCAAATGTTTCAAGCATTTGAAACTTGGCACCCAAACACATAATTTTGCACTGACCTAAATATGGCAAGGTGTTTTGTGGATGTAATAAGAAATGTTGTCCAGCATAGCAGGCATGACAACGTTGAGTTGATCCTGCATAAATACAGAAGGAGCAAAATTGGGTTTCTCAATTGTCTTGGGTCAGATCATGGGATATAAACATTGCAAATCATGGCTCAAAATTAATAGTAGCCAAAGGCGCAAGACTGCCCATTTTCGTTTCGTTTAGAAATTGACAAAAAACAATGTGTGTCATAACATCCTGTTGGTTCAATAGTAAACAAAAATGAAATGAATGTAAAGTTTTATAACAATCAGTCAATGTATTTCAGAGACAAGGCATTTCCAGAACAGAACAGCATTTGCATTCAACAATTTCAATGCAATCTGAAAAAAACGTTGTATATGTATATGTATATATATATATATATATATATGTTTAATGTATGTATTAAGATAAACAATATATATCCTGTATAACCAAGATCTGGGTCCAAAAATGGCAGAAATGCTTGATTTTAATGAATTATAATATTACAATGGTTGCCATTCAACCATCTTTGTTCAATGGGAGATTTGTCACAAAGTGTATTTTTGTACTTGCCTACCCTAATAATTAGAAGTAGGCGTGGCAACATATTTTTACCTTCTAACTACATGGTGGATAATTCTAGGACTGGTAGAACTGAGTGTGTGTGGTAGCACTTATTGGTGCAGTTTTGACTCAGAGGGTGGCTGTGGGGAAGAATTGACGCCCCTTACAGCAAATACAGCATACTTTTCACACGAGAATAAGAATAATTCCATCTTGGAGTTCTTCGAAGACAATGCTTGGTGTCTCCATTCCACCACTATGGTATTCATGACTTTGCTTCACTACTATGATATTTGTCAATGCAATATTTACCTAGCCCAGTGTATACATATGCATAGCATGAGAACATGTCGTCTTTGTTTATAGTTAGCTATTTTGTTACCAGGGCTTTATTTATTCATCTGATTTGAAAATGTATCAAGATACCATGCATGCATTATTAAGTTATAAAATTATGTAGTGTCGTGGATACTCTATGCACACTATTAAAACTTTAGTTCTGAACGTTCATAACACTGGGGGATTTCCAAGAAATTTTGCTTCTTTTGCAAAGTACCTCATCTTGATAAATTTCTTCATCCCTGGCACCCATGTTACATCCAAATACATATTTCCTATCCCTGGGGAGCAGGTATTAAATGACGGTTGAACAAAGCAGTTGCTTGGGGGAACCAGGGTTGAAAATTACTGGTGCATTATAATCATAGACCAAACTGAAGTTACAAACTTTGATGTACTTACCATTGACATCATACCAGGACCTATGTGTTTCATTTGAAAGTTCTCATCACCGTACGCTCCTCCATATATACTCATCAACCCCGTACCATCACCCTAGTATAAAATAGAAATGAAAGTTTGAACTGAAAATCAAATCAAATGAAGCCACAGCACATGATATGTACAGTATTCATATTATTGTCAAGGTGTTTCAAGTCTCCATATTTTTGTTTGATTCTACTCATCACATGCTAGTAGGCATTGACTTGATCATCGCATGCGAATATGCATTACTAAGTTTGAAGAGAATCAGTCAAGGTAAATTCTGAGATGCAGCTCAAAACAGATGCCCAGACACGCCTATGGGAATTAACCATAAATAACATGTTTCAAACATGTTCTTATTTCATTCTACTCATCCCATGGTAATCAGCAAGTTCCACATTCCTAGAGTAAGGGGACTTTTCAAGTCCATTGTTCAAGCAGCTGAGAGTACCTAATCAGTTTCTGCCACAGGTGAATATTCAAATATTTTTTATGCATGCATGCATACAGTGTATGTGTGAACATCTACAGTGCTACTCAAAACACTAGAAAGACTAACAAATCATTTATGACCTCACTGATCCAGAAAATGTTTATTTGGCTTTATTTTCTGTACTTTGTTAACGAAAATTGCATTTCTAATCACATTTTTCACACTGAACATTCCACAAAAAGAGTTGCTATGGCACCAGTACGCCATTGTACTCAAGTGGACCTAATTTTTAGTATTTGGCAAAATTTCTGTGGCTATTTATGACATTTGCTGACTTTTTACTTCATATTATTTTTTCTATATCAATATATGTTCAAAAAATACTAAATTATGAATATAGCATATTTGGTCATAAAATGCACAATCCTTTGGATTTGGGTTTGAAATGTGACCATGACTGATTCAGGATGCATCATCAGTGAAGCCTTGGAGAATGTTTTTATCTTTTTCACCACCAGTTCCCTCTTTCATCACAAATTCACAAAATAGTCAAGACTTGTAGTCTGCACTATTTTTCAGAAGATTGAGACAAAAATAGCCAAATTTTTTGAGTAAAAACTGATAATTGACTCAAATTTTTACTGTTGGCTCCAAAATTAGGGTTCATTTTTGGAAATATTGAAGAAATTATTAAGAAAAAAAGTACAGAAAACTTTGGAGAGAAAGTCCGGTGGTAAAAAGATTAATTAAGTCATAATGAATGAGGCAATTCAGACCGAACTGAAAAAAAATTATTATGAGCCGACACAACTACTTAGTACTAAGTCAACAGTGTGGTACTCAGCAAGTCTTGTCAATTTGACAAGTTAGAATGAAATTGATTCATGAGGACTCAGTTCTAGAACTACAGAAATATATTCTTTGTATGGAATGTTATGATAATGAGATGTAGTATATAATAGAGGAACTTTTGGCAAGACACCGATAGCCATTAATAACTATGCAATAAAGTTTGAAACGTACATCGAAAGATTTACAGCAAGTCTTTGAAGTATTGGGGCAGCCAATTTGCAAACTGGCTTGCGAATTTGGCCAACTGCTTTGGTTTTGACTAAACAATTGGCTTTTGAATCTCGCTGGCGCCGGCATGGATCACGTCCACTCAGACTGTTTTTACGTAGCCTGGTATATGTCTGGATTCCCCTGAATGATTTGAGCTCGAAAATGGCCACAGTCAGCTGGCGTACAAGTGATATTATGATAAATGCGATTAATCCACCGATATTTACTATATGAGGGTAACCGTCTTGAACACTGCTTGAAACTAAATAGACAAGTTGTTGAGAAACAGTTTCCTACAAACCAGGGAAAAATAACAAACTTTCACATCCAAACGATCTGTTGGGGTAACACTAAGCCAACCACTGAAAAAATCGACCTCA